TTTTTTTTTTTTTGTTTTTCATTACTTTCAAATGATTAGGGAAATGCTAAAGCTCACCTCTGGCTGGAATTCTATCTCTGCCATATTGAGCCTCCGCGGTATCTGAAAAAAGAAATAATTTGTTTAAAGAAACATTTTAGTATTTCTATACATGCTTTATTATTCGTCATTTAAATTGAACATTATAAACTATTTTACGTAAAAAAATTAATAAAAATTCGTTTTTCTGTGAGGAATTTCCCAACACTTTCATAATAATTTTCATTTCATTTTTTTTTAAATATAAAACTTATAAAATAATTTTCTTTAATTTGAATGAATTTAATACGTTATTCCTATCGTAAATAATTTTGTAGAATGAAAGCTATGACTTCTCGGAGAAAATATTAAACGAAGACAGAATTGTGCAGTTATCAAGTAGTTCTATTACCGGTTGGGGCTATCGCAAGGGACAACCGGATGTTTATCATGTAGCTTCTCTGGAAATCACCGTTAAAAATGAATGAGAATCCTCACATTCTACAAAACTTGCAAAATTCCGCTTTGTTATTCGATAAAATTCTATTCCATTGTACTCGACTTTCTTTATCGTTCATATATACATATAATGGATCAGAAAGCAGAATATTTCACTGTAAAATTATTTTGCTCTATAATGGTCAAATTCCATCAGAAATAAAATACTACTACATATCTTCTCTTCTCTTCTTTTTAATATTTAAGTTGTGAATGTTGAAATAAAATAGAGAATTTGAATTTAAATTAGATCTAAATTGCTTTGCAAGAAAATTTTTTAACAATTTGTTTTAACGTTAAACACCTTTTGATCTTATTGCTTTAGATTTCTAGAGCGTTTAGATTTTGAGGACTCAAATAAACTTGAGAAATTCAGAAGAAAGGCAGGTCGAAGGGTCGAATCGCTATCTAATCGTAATGGATAAAGTATCTTCTCGTAAGAGCAATGAATGGGAAGCACGCTATGATCAAAAGTAGATCACAACGAGTGAATCTTAACTGTTTCGTCTCAACGAGGTTTCTTTCTTCTGGTTTAACGAGAAATATCAATAATTGAAATAATCGAAGTAAATTTAAAAAAAAACCTTCGTTTTTCTTCAGTCAATCTGTGCTGATTTATGAATAAAAAGCAATTTTATATAGGTATTACGTTAACGCATACAACAATTTTTATTTCAGTTTTTTTCTAAATAAATTATTATTTGCAATGTTATTGATAAAAATTTACTAAAGTTATATATACAAATGATATAACGCTCGATAAGTACAAATGTGAAAAAATTGTCGATAACTCGGATAAACACGTGCTATTTAAAACGTGTTAATAAATGATACTTACTGGACACAATAGTTATTGCAAGCAAGAGTATTGCAAAAATTTCCTGAAAAGATATTCGTGCCATTTTTTTTTTTTTCTCCTCCCCCCTAACGTTTGGATTTTTTGAATCGAAATTTAAGCCATCAGCATTATGTTCTATCTGAAAGGGAAAAAAAAATAAATTGTTTCATCTTTGAACAATACTGAAGCAGCATTAAAAGTGATCATATGTCAATCTTTTCTTCGAAGCTTGATCAATTGCTAAAATCTCCCAAGACAGACTTGCTTCAAACAGACCTAAAACCTTGAATCCTTGAATCTTACAAATTTCACAAGACTTTTTTAAAGATTTTTGTATCGTAACTCTTTCTAGCATTTGTTAGTCGCTCCTTTTTTTAAGAAATACTGAAAGTTGTGGGTAACTTGATACAATTTCATTTTCAGGAAATTGTTTGTGTTACAAAATATCCAA